TATCTTTTTCTGCTGCACTCGTAGATCTTTAGCACCCAATGTACCACAAACTAAGCATTAGATAAAGAGAAAAGTCAAAGGAAAGACTGTGCATGGTCCAAAATCTAGGGTAAAGTACATGAAAGGATAAGACTTGGTCTATGAAACTTAGAATCTCATATGAAACTCATAATCAAAATTTTGCAAGTGATAATTATTGGAGACATATTAGGTAATATCTCTTGAAAAATATGTTCAAATGAGAAAAATGAATTATAGCGAGATCGTATGTGAAAATATCACTTGAGCTTCTTACCTAAATAATGTAACTATCTTACGATGGTATATGGTTGAGTTCTAAACCTCTTAATAAACATGTAGTCATTATAATTTATTTTTAATGGCTCAAGATGCTTGTGGTTGTCTTGGTCAATAGTACATGTGGTAATTTAATAGTTTAATGCTTAATGTTATTAACAATTGATATGTATATAGCTAATTTGTGATTATTATTTTTGAATGATAAAAATAGTGAATAAATATGTGCATGAAAAAATGGGTTTATAAAAAATTTGAGAACCTAACTCCAAAAAACTAAAGAAGAGAGTTACCCATTTATGAAAATGAAAGTGATGCATTTGAATGACCTAGTGAAGATTTTGTGGGTGGTGTTGTAGAGAAAAGAGATTAAATTTTTTGCACCCATTGAACCACAAACTAGGCCTTTGGTAAAGAGAAAAGGTTGAAAAAAGGACTACGTGCATAATCCAAGGTCTAGTATACATGGAAGGGATAAGACTTGGCCTAAAAAGCTTAAAATCTCCAATGAGGATAGCTAACTCCTAATTAGAAGTTTGTAGGCAATAATTTTTAGAGATTGATATCAAGTAATATTTCTTGAAAAATGGGTTCACATGAGAAAAATGAATCATAAAAAAATCATTTATGAAGGTATTTCACTCAAGTTTCTTGCTCACCTAAAACTCTTAGTAAACTTGTAGCTTGTTTTGAGTGGTGTGCTTGAGTTGTAGGGGCACTATTGATGGATTTCATTTACATGGGTATCACAGTGCAGTTGTTTCTGTAAATTTTGGATGTGCAATTTTCTAACTTAATTATTAAAACTAGGATTATGCACAATGCCATATTATATCAGTTATATGAAAAACTCAGCTCTTGAATCATTATGTGTGATGGAATTCCTGTATCCTTTTATATGTTATAGTTCAAGATTTAGTACACTATTGAATTTAGAATATTAATTGTGATTTACTAAATAAAGTTTCAAGATTTAGTTATTTTTATTATGCATAATAATACGTTGTTGCTCAAAATAAATTTTCATCATCTCTATTATTACTTATCTCCAAAGTGATGTAGTATCCCATCCAATTGATGACATAAACCTTATAGAATCAAGCCAACTCGCCTTGTTATTAACACACCCCATGAGAGTGGGATTTTATATATTGCAGTTGACTGTAACTTTGAAGCAAAGCAAAAGAAAAGATTTTCAGTTTTACAATGAAAAAAATTGTCACAATGATATTTTATAAAAGGTAAAATTGCATACACACTCCTTTGTAGTTTGAGATAGCTACATCCCCCTCCCCAAGATAAGATAAACGCATTTTGCACCATAAGTTAAAATTAAAATTGGAAACTAAAATCTTGTCTCATTAGTATTGAGAGTATTTAGGTGAGAAAATGTGTAAATAAAGATATTAATTTTATATTTTTTTATTTAAAAATATTAACTTTATTAATTT